GGTCAGCCAGCATTTCTCCCGTAGGGACCTTCTTCAGCTTAACTCGGCCAGAGTCGATCACCTCTTGAACCCACAGGAAGCAGGTGTGGATGTGCTTCACACGTCCAAGACCTCTCCGGCTTCCAATGGATATGCCCGTGGTGGCGTCCATGTTGATGACCACAGGGCAGTTGATGCCCCAATCAGCCAACATTGCTTGTTCACCCAAGCATGCGCTGGTAGTGGATATCAGGCCGTAGTATTCAGCTTCCCCACTGGATAGTGCTATGACTGCCTGCCCTTTCGCAGTGGCTTTGATGACTGCCTTCCCTAGTTGCACGACCGTCCCGGTTGTGGATTTTCTCGTGCGAACGCATCCTGCATGATCTGTATCACTCCATCCTTGAATGACACTGAACCCTTCTTGGTGAGGAATAAGCTGCACGAGGCGAGGTGCTCCTCTCAAGTATCTCCCTGCACGCTTGAGCAGGTTCCAGGGATATTGAGTGGGCTCCTTGAGGCCTTTAGCAAGTTCCCTCACAGTCCGAAGCATGTCGGGTCTGTCGCTTGACAGATACCCAATTCTCATTGCTATGGACCGATAGAGTCCAGCATCTTCCTTGGAGAGTGGACTTTCATCCTCATCCCCTGTGCTCTTAACAAGTGGTGTGGTAACAGGGCTGGAGTTATTCAAACCCAGGTGTTCCAACACCAGGTCCACGTGCCGAGGATCGGCTTCCATCTCGATCCCTTCGTTGGTCCACGTGACCAATCTGTTAAGCACAGAGATGCTGTGAGTAACTCCTGGCAGGCTCGAGCCGGGCCGTGCCAAGATTCCTCGCACCTCAATTGTCCACGCTTTCTGAAGTGACTCAATCAACCATTGAAGTTTGTTGTAGCCCCCGACGACTGTGAAGTCGTCTCCATGCACATTGCAACGTAAGCCATGTTCAGGGTGAAAGTAAAGGCACGGGTTGGACACCCCTTGCTTAAAACCCAAGTCGGTCATTACTTTCTTGATGGCATGTTCCCAGTTGCTCGGTGCATCACGGGTTCCGTAGAGACTCCTTTTGAGAAGGCCGACCTTGTCAGGTCCTTCTCCCGCTTCTGGTGGGAGCTCCACGAGGAGTCGCCTCCTGACTGGACTCCAGAAGTGAGCTTTCTTCACATCAATGAACAGCACACATACTTCACCATGCTCGTTCATCTGGAAGGCTTTCTTGTTTGGGCCGGGTACGCGCCCAGTTGTAGCCAGTGTGAAGAGAGCCCTCAAGGAGGACAATGGCGGCATCGCCGCAAAGAACTCGGTCCAGCTCGGATCTTCGTTGACTCCTTTCTTTCTCTTCAGTTCTTGTGCTACCAGCCTTGAGCGCAGTTTCCTTCGAAGATCATCCCCCTTATTGATGTCAATCCATCTGGTGCCGATGACCCGTTCGCCAGGGGGTCTTGGAATCGGCTCCCAAACCTGCATGTCTTTGATAACTTGGATCTCCTCCATGCGAGCTTGCTTGACACCTTCGGCGGGAAGCTCTTTACCAGTATTCTCGTCGTAGAACTTTTCCTCCCACAAGTCGTCCTCTAAGTCGCACGTGGGTTGTTCCTCGTTTTCGATACTGGCAATGAAACCTTCGCGCTCTTGAAGAATGAGCTCTTCGATCATGCCTTCGGCATTCTCAGGTGATTTTCGCTTCTGACCTTCGGACCTTGCGTCAGGAGGTGCCAGCTCGGCACGACCTTCGTCCCCCCCGCCTTCACTCTTTCTCTTCTGGCCCCCACTGGGCGCAGCTGAAGCAGCCGCACCACCAGGTGGCAGAGAGCTAGGTTCGCTCGGAACCTCTGGCCTCAAAGGCGGTTGGCGAGCAATAGTCAGAGGTCTGGAAGGTTGGGCCGCTGGAGATTCTGTGGAAGAGGACGCCTCCTGCTCAGTACTCACCTTCCTCTTCTTCTCTTCTGCTTTGTTCACCTTATCGAAGAATTCACTCTCACGCTGCTCTTCGCGTTCCAGTCTGGCCTTTCCGCTTTCTGACTCCTTTAGGGCTTCCATGATCCTTGAGCGGCAGTGCTCGGTGTGGTTGATGCCCGTTCTCCTTCGACCCTCACGGATTGCTGAGCATGCCTCGCATCCAGCCGTATACCCAAACTTGTCTAGGTCAGACTGGCGGATGTAGGTGCGTCTGAAGGGTGCTACCTCGGGCTTAACCAGTTCGCGAGCAGGTGGAGGCAGTCCCTCCTCAACTTGAGCTCGAACGGTCAGTGGCTCGGGTAATCGAGCACCATCTCCAGTCTCGTCCGGTGAGGTCTTCCAGGGCAATCCACGAACTGCCTTGACCAAGTCGGAATCCCATTGTTGGCCCTCGGGTTTCCGCTTGATGCTCTGGACCACAAAGATCCCTTGGTTGGTCCCCACGATCTTCTCCGTGCTTTGCAGACGTAGGCCCAGATAAACTCCAGATTGCCATCGCGAATCCAGCTTTGAGCGCGTATTGCGGCGGTAGTCCACAGCTTCACCGAAGCATGGCAAAGCCACTTGCCACTTGCGCCCCTTTATTCGCTGAAAAGGCGTCAACCCTTCATGGAGCTCTTGACTGAACAGGGTGTGCAGTACACCAGCATATTCAATCATCCAGGCAAACACGGCTGAGGTGGGTTCAAGGGTAATGCCCTTCTCAGTCAAACTGGCCTTCAGGGTCCGCACTAAACCCTGCACTGTCTGAACGGACCTTTCAGCTTCCCCATTGCTCTGTCCGTGGTGGTCCCCTTTTGGTGACTCTTCCGGAACAATCTCCCCACTGAAGCCATTGCGGACAGCTAGAGATAGAGCTTTGATAGAAGCTTCCTGGTCGTTCTTCAGAACCAGTTTCTTGTACCCTAGGAACTCAAGGTCCTTCAAGATAGCCCGCGCAGGGTGCGTAGACCCAGTCGTCCCCTTGCACGGGAGGAGGTGCGAGAAGATAGCCTTCGAGTGGCGATCGCGAAGGACTATGGTGGGCAGTCCAGCGCCATCGGTCCTCTCATTGAAGTAGAGGTAGTCCATGCTGATGACAGGCACCGTGGACTCCTGACCCGAGGCTTTGTGCTGGTAAGCTCGACCACGACCTGCAACGCAGGCTCTGCACCAACTCCTGTATGGAACGTGGGAAACCTCATGAGCTGCTATCATCTCGGGCGTTGGTCGGTCTGGCCGGGCCAACGGCTGAGCAGACTGACCCTCATCGACCTGTGGCTGGGAGGACGCTGAAGCAGCTTCCTCCCTTGGTGGATCAGCACCGCCAGCTTCACCCACATAAAGGGATCCAGATCGATTCTTGCCCGAGTTAGACCTAGGCTTTTCCTCTGCTTTGCGTGTTGGGCTTCTTGGCTTTTCCTTTGCTTTGCGCGTTGGGCTTCTTGGTTCTTCCTTTGCCTTCTCCTTTGCTTTGCTTCTTTCCTCCTTGGCTTTGTCCTCCTCTCCTTCCGATCCTATGAAAAAGTGGTCGGGAGAACTAGCTACCGGAGGGGGCCTAGGAAGATGAAAAACACTACCTTTTCCTACCGCGCCAAAATGGCTGTCAGGTGAAACTTTCGAATTTTTCTGTACATCTACAGCACCTACTCCCTGAGCTACCGCAAGGTGGGTGAAAACGCTTTCGGGCTTCCGGCCTCCCTTTGGGCTTACCTGCACTCCTCCGGGCAGTGCCGCGGGAAACCCTTGAAAGCAAACGTCGCCTTAGGCGACCCAAGGATCTTGAACACCAAGGTTTTCTCCTCGCTTCCTTTCACACGGATCACCGCTCTCGATCCTTTCAGGACGATCGTGTGCCCAAGCTTCAGCACTTGGGTCGCGCTGAGAAGCGCACGCTGCACCGAGGCCACGCAAAACCGGACCTTAAAGGAAAACCCTTCGGTCGACCTCAAAGACACCACGGCCGTACCGAGGTTTGGCAGCCAGCCTCCGTCTGCGGTGCGGAAGCCTGCCGGTCCTTCGGCGGGTCCCCATTCCAGGTGCTTCACCCACTCTTGTGGGATCACATTGTGGCTCGCCCCACTATCCAGGATCACTTGGATGGTGGTAGCCGAAGCGGCCCCACCAAACCCTGGCTCGAAGGAGTACACCACGGCCTCCTTGGCTCCTTCCCCACCGCCTGGTGGGCTCCTTGGCCCACGGCCCAAAGGTCGGTGGCCGGGGTCTGAGTCTGTGTCGGGGTCATCGTAACCCCTTTGGTCTTCTTCCTCGTCTTCGCTCAGGAGCTCTTTGGCCTTTTGCTTGGCCCTTGCTGCCCGCCGCTTCTTGTAAAAGCGGTCTGCAGGCTCGGTCGTTTTCACACGCCTGCTGTGGCACGAGTGGCAGTCGCTGTCATCATCCAGGTCCCGGTTGGCGATCGTTTCGCCCACCGTCCCCCTTGGGGCCAGGGCCCGGAGTTTCCTCCGGATTCCAACCCTTGCGCGAAACCGGGTTGCAGCCTGGTACTGCTTCGCAAGGCCCCTGCGGCGGATCTGCTTCTCCGGCAGGGCTGGTCGGTAGCCCTTGAGGTAGTTCACAAACCTCGAGTACATCTGGCTGTACTTGTTCAGCTGGGGCCTGCCTCGAGCCTTGGGCTCGGCCCTCCAAGGTGCAGAGGCGATTGCCTCCTCCACCTTTCTTTTCTGGCTGAGGGTGAGCTCGGAGATGCCCTTTCTTCGCACTACAACCCCCGAGCCGTCGATGAAGGTGAAGACCATCTCCACCAGGTCCTCTTCTTCCTCTTCCTTCTTCTTCCTTCTCGACTCATGGCCCGGTGGCGGAGTACTCGGCTCTTTGGGCGTCGCCCGAACCTTAGGGGTCGGCCTCAGCTTAGGCGGTGGCCCCTTCGGCTCACTGGGCCGGTCGGTTCCGCGAACCCCCGCCGGTGGGGACCGATGCGGTCCACCACCCGCTTCTTCCTTCATCTCCTGAGCCCTTCTTTTCTTCCTCTTCTGCTCTCGCAGCCTCTTGCCTTCGCGGCCCTCTGGCGTCAGCCGCCGAGGCTTGGCACTCCAGTCCCTTTCCTTGGGCTCGTCGAGCTCATCCCCAGAGTGCTCGCGGTCCTCGCCTTCGCCCCTCATCATAGCCTTTTCCCGGCGAGAGGGTGGTGCAGCTACCTTGGACCCAGCACTGGGCAGCAACGGATATTCATCCTGCTTGCGTGCCCTCTCGGGTATGTTGAACCTCTTCTCCAGGGCTTCCTCCCTTCTAACTCGTGCCTTGGCTTGCCCTAGCCTGAGGCTTTGCCGGTGCTTGGCCGCTCTCTGGCGGCTCTTTTCTTTCCGCTTTGCCAGCCGCGGGTTGTGACCCGCATTCAGGTCGGCCTGAAGCCTAGCCGAGATCCTTTCTTCTCGGTTCCTTTTGAGCTCCTGGGCCCTCTTGATCTGACCCTTAACCATATCCAGCATCAGCCGGTGCATGGTGAGCTCCCCTTGGTCACCTTCGCTGCCCTTGGCTTCCACCTCGGCGATCTGAGCCTCAAGCTCCCTTCGCCTTTCCTGAAGCTTGTTCAGCACACTCATATCGGCCATCCTTAGGCCCACTGGGGTGGAACTGGCTGATCCCGCCTTGGCTTTAGCCTTGGGTGCCGGGGGATCCGTGGACCCGGCCCCAGAGGTGTCGCCACCAGGTGAGGAACGAAGCGCTCCATCACCTCCGCTTCCATCTTCCCTGCCATCGGCAGGGTCCCCATCAGGGTCAGCTTCGCCCTCGCCATCCAGAGCCCCTATAAAGCCCAACTCGGCTTCCTCGGCTTCATATTCGGCATCGCCGGCCCCATCCATGGCGCCGCCCTCCGTGCCGTCAAGCTCGTTGGCTCGGCCCTTTGGCCGGTTCTTGTTACCCTTGCCCGCTTGAGCCTTAGGGTCCTTCGGGTTTCCTTTACCTTTACCCTTACTATCCTTATACCAACAGTCCCTAGCTAGGTGACCTACGCGTTGGCATATGTGACAGGTCCTTGTTTCTTTGGCCTTGTCCTTTCCTTTGTCTCCTTTCTTTCCTTTTCCCTTCGGTCCTTTGGCACCCTTCAGAGCATCCACCTCCATTGGCACAGCACCGTCCGTGGCCGTAAAGGCCCGCTTGGTATCCGCAAAGGACACCATTTCTCTCCTCAGCAACTCATAGCTGCTGAGCCTTCCTAGGTTTAGCTCCAGGTGGCCCTGAAGCTCAGACGGCGCGAGGCCGATCAAAGAAACCATCTTCTGCTGCTCCGTCAAAGGTGCGCAGTCCTTTCGCTGGCTGTACCGCCGGTGAGCATCCTCCCATTTCTCAATGGCTGGCACCAGGTCGGTGACGGAATCCACCGCCGAAGTGCTCATAAGTGACCTCAGCCACCTCATGCTGGTGACCATATCCGATGGATCCAGGCGGGCGTGCAGCCTCCGGAACATGTCCAAACCTGACCCAGTCGAACTATTCATCGTGATGTCCCCAGGCGCATCGCTGGTAAGCGTCCCAAGCACCACCTCAAGCTGGCGATTAAATTCCAGCACCGCTTCCTTGGCAACGCCCGTAATCGAAGTCGACTCCAGGCTTGCCAAAGGAATCTCGGTATCACCCTTTTCCTTGACCCAAGCAAGGATCTTCCTAGCATCCGGAAATTGCGAGGCTAGCCAAAGCTCAAGACGATACGACCATTGGCGCCAATTTCGCGACGCTTCTTCCAATGTACCGCCCAGCTGGCTCGGTCGCCCCACAGCTTTCACATCAATCAAGCCACGTCCCTTTGTGGCCGAGCTAGCCGAAGCAAAGCTCTGCGTTGCAGCTGCAAGCTGCTGTTGCCCATGAACCTGGGCTCCCATCATCTCTTGCAGCCTCTGAAGCTGCTCTTGCTGCCCTTGAAGCAGTCTCAGTAACATCTCCTCTCCTTGGGTAGCCCCCACTCCTGTGGGACTTCCCGGTTGAGACATCAGTCTTTCTTAAAATGCCTCGAAAGGCGATCAAGCAACCTTCTTGGAAAATCCTGGAGCCGCACTCCAGTGTTGTGGAAAAGACGCTGAAGCTTCCGCAGCTTCCTTACCTTTTGAATCAATCGGACCCAATTGGCCCTGGCTCTCTCGCGCTGCGCTCTCCTTCTTCTGCAAGCACAGCAGCAACCCATCCAGGATTGCTCCGCTACCATGAAAGCACTTTTTAGGCTTCTGCAATTGGCCTTGAGCCAAAACGTCAGTAACATGCAAACTGTACAGGAACTAACTACCCTATAGCCCTCACTTCCAGTCAGGAGCAAGGGGACAGAAAAAAAAAAGGAGCAAAAAACAAAAGGAATGAAGAAATACGCCCTCCGTTAAAAAGCCGAGAGGGCGCAAAGCCAAGAAGCCTAGGAAACCAAGATGCCAGGAAGCTATACAAGACTAGAAGAAGGCAGTATGCTCCGAAAGCCAAGAAGCCAAGGAAACCAGAAAGCCAGCAAGCCGTGCGAAACGAGAAGGCAGTATGCTCCAAGTTACGATACTAGAATCTAGAGAAGTCGAGGGGTTCATCGAAAAGCCAAGAAGCCACGGAAACCAAGAAGCCATGCACGACATGAAGGCAGGAGAACCGCACGCGCCCGCACACAGACCAAAAAAAAACAAAAATCCCAAAACACAAAAAAATAATTCCCAAAATAAATAGGCCTCCATTCTAAACCCTGAACACTCAACCCTAAACCCCTGAAGCCGCTGCACCTCCAGGCAGTCCAGAACTCTCGGCAAGCTAGGATGCTGTAGCTCGGTGATTCGTTGGAGACCTGGGCGGGTTGAGAGTTGGGTTTACGGGCCTGAAATTAGAGAATCCCACTTATACCTCCAATGGGTTTAAAATTAGGACCCCCAGCGGGTGTTTCATAGAATGAGCGATCTACTTCCAATATGATCTGCCCTCAGCAACCGTTGCCATGATTGCATGAAATACCCCTAAACAGCTAATTCTTGGTGTCTGAGGTAAGGTTTGATTGCGAGGAAGCCCATGAGAAACCCATTTCACACACTCACCAATGTTCCTAATAGTGAAAAGCCGAATTTTGGGGGTATAAAATCTGTTACAACAAGGAACCCTAAGGAATGGTATCTGCAGTTATTTTGGCATTGGATGCCCTCGAGAGACGGAGATGAAGGATCTATGGTTTAGGGCTCAAGCTGTGAGGCTTGGGGCTTGGGGTGTCGGGGCATGGGTTTGGGGTTTGCTTGCGGTTTCCGGCTCAGGGTTCAGACTTACAACTTATGGCAGCTCCATATGTTAGAAGGGGCTCCCACCCTGTAATAGTGACTATAAGGTTTATATTCGGGGGCCCTATTATATTCGAATATACCACTATTGCAGGGTGGGGGCGCCCCTTCTAATCTAAATTCTACTACTGGTATGTGAACTTCATGTCCGACCCGGAAGACAAAATTAGCAGACGAGACATGCATTGCAAGGATTGCACAGTGCAGACAGTAGGTTATCCTGAACCTTAAACAGGAAAAGAAACCTAAACCCGAAACCCCTAAATCCTAAACCCGAAACCCTGAACCCTAAACTCCTCAACCCGAAACCCTGAATCCTAAACCCCTAAATCCTAAACCCGAAACCCGAGCCCGCATCCCGAAGGCATCTGGGGGCCCCGTCTCGTGCGGATGAAGTCTATGGGAGCCGATGCCTTTCTAGGCAGGTTGTAGGGTTTAGGTTTAGGGTTTAGGGTTTGGGGGTTTACGGTTTAGGGGTTTAGGGTTTGGGGTTTGGGGTTTAAGTTTTAGGGGTTTAGGGGTTGAGGGGTTTAGGGGTTTGGGGAAGTCTATGGGAGCCGATGGGTTTGCAGCTTGGGAGGGGGACTTGGGGCTCCCCGGGTTTCAATAGTACTCTCAACCCTAGAAAGCCCTAAACCCAGAGTTGCCTATCTGGGGTTTCGGTTGTGGTTTCGCAGGGTTTAAGGCTTTAGGGGTGGAGGCGTTCGGGCTCTGTTCCTCCCATTGATGTAGATTTGGCACGAGCGAGTTTAGGACTGACCACCCTGAAACCCAGGTGGACACACCGATACCAATCAAGGGGCCCTGAAGCTTGAAACCAGAAAGCCCGACACCTTGCTCCACTGAGCCGAGCACCTTGTCTTTGCGGATCTGCCGGACTTCGACAAAGGCTTGAGACTGGATGTGGCGACATCTGTAGACCTCCGCCAGACTTTCGTAGTTGAGAGTGCTTCGATGCTCATGACGACTATACGATGCGGTTAGGATCATAAGCAAGGCCAATGCCACCGTCATCATCACCAAGAACTGTAATCAACGAAACAGGACTAATCCTCTTGCATTCTCTTCCGCCCACTAGCTGCAAAGCTTCAGGTAACGGAGCTCTCAGCTCATAGCCTTGCCAAGCGCTCCCTTCGCCCGGAATTCAAAGGACTCGTACTTGTCCTTCGGTTGCGCAAGACAAGTCGAATAGGGCGCTCAGAGTTTAGTGCGTGGGCTTCGGGCTTCGGGCTCCTGGGGTGTGGGGTTTATTCTTCGCTGTACATGTGTACATGTATGCTATGTGTATATCCCTATGCATATTACCATTCGAAGCATATGTACGTATATATACATATATATATATATATACAGAAGAGGAGGCTGTGGGGCCTGCGTTTTGGCAACCCACTATTTTTAGTGATTTTGTGCGTTTCGGATGGTTGTGCGTGGGTTTCTGTGCCAGTTGGTCGCTCGTTTGGTGCGCATGCGTGCATGTTTTTGTTTCCAACTACAACATCAGCTCTGAATTGTTTCAAATCCGGCGGTCTGTTTATAAACACAGGGTTTGTTTATAAACAGTGCGTTTCGGTATACCGTGCTTTCAGCGTTTAGAGTTTGTTGGATTTGCTCGTTGTCTTTTATATGTACATTATATGATAGTTAACTTTTGTCTTCTTGTCTAGGTGTTGCTGGTTTTGCGTTTGCTCGTATTCATCGTTATAAGTCGTGATGTGGCGGAAGCGGTCAGGGGGGGGGGGGGGGGGGAGGGGGGGGGGGGGGGGGAGGGGGGGGGAGGGGGTGAAACACTGAATGTTACACATCCAGGTGCCTGTCTGTTTCACGTATCACTTGCATGTATCCATGCCTGTTGCTCAAGGTTCTAGTGCAGTGGACTACAGCTGTGCGCCTGTAGCAAAAGAGACACCTGAGTGCCTGTGTTCCTGTACGCCTAGCGAGGGGATACACGTCCAGGTTACATCTCAACGTGGTAGCGGAGCTCCGGGAAACGGGAAGCTTCACACTTGTGGAGGTACCCGTTCGGTACTCTCTACACAGGTGGAGGCAACCGGAATACCCGGTGTGCTTCACTCAGGTGAAGGTGACCGGAGTCTCTCCGGCACACTTCACTCAGGTGAGGATAACCGGAAGAGGTTTCTCCCGGGGCTCGATCCAAGAACAGCGCAATGGCTAGCCACTCTGCGACTATCTTTGAGCATGAAGGAGGAGATGATGACTACCTCCTCCACGGAAATGAATCTTTCGCGACTTAATCATCGTCATCTCAATGAATTACACCGTCTTTCAGCTTTCCAGCAGGTGACCACAAAAGTACCTCCATCTTATGATGGTAGAAGCAGTTGGTTTGCCTATGAAGATGCGATCGATGACTGGTGTGACATTACTGAGCTAGACAATGATAAGCGTGGACCAGCTTTGAGAAATCGGCTAGAAGGTGAAGCAGCAATCCACAAGAGACTTCTCGACAGAGATCGCCTGAAGGACCCGAACAACGGAGGGAAGTACTTCAAGAGTTTCCTGCGGCCGCTTTTCGTGAAGGGAGCAGCGAATGTTTTTCTCTATCGCTTCCAGCAGTTCATGAACATGCACCGTGGGAACGGAGACATGCTTCGTTGGATTACCAGGTTTCAACTCTCTGTTCAGAGAATGCAAGAAGCGTGGAACGATACCTATCTGCCAATCGAGGACTCGAACAATGCAGAGGTCAGAGCCTTCATAGTAGGACTTCCTCCAGAAGAACAAGAAAACCTTACGCCAGCTCAGGCAATGGAGAGAGCCAACGAACGGCTTAGAGAGCAGCATGCTCGGACCATTCCGATCACGCCCAACCTGGTCGCTTTGATCTTTGTGTCCCTGTCTGATCTGACACAGGATCAGCGTCAGGTGTTGACATCACTGATGGCGCATCGGACCCGAGTCCTGGCTGACTACAACACGGCCGAGCTTCGCGAAGTCTACCTGGAGATCTTCTGTACGACCAAGACTACCGTCGACAATCCACTCCTCGCTCCTTCCGGCCACGGTGGCCGCAAGACTTTCCTTGTGATCGATGAAGGATATTTGAACGATCATGAAGTCTACTGGGTCGAGGACGAGGAAGATGGCACCGAAGGTTTCCTCGAAGCGGATGAGGACGCCTTCTGGGTCTACGACGACGAGAACTATTCATGGTTCCAGCGGCGTTTCCAAGGCCGCAAGATGAGGCGCGGATTCAAGGGCCACCGTAAAGGCAAAGGAAAAGGTGGCAAAGGATCCAAAGGAAGGCGCTTCTTCAAAAGGAAGAAAGGCAGGTCACATCTTGCCGAAGAATCAGAAGCATGGCAAGCAGAAGGACAATGGCAAGATTACCAGTGGAGCGATCAGTCCTGGGATGACTGGTCCTGGGATGAGTCTGAGGAATCCTATGCAGCCAAAGGAAAAGGAAAGAAAGGAAAGAAGGGCAAAGGAAAGAGCAAGTTTGGCAAGGATGGAAAAGATGGAAAGTCCGGAAAAGACGGACAGAGCCAGCTTGCTGATGCTGCCCCGAGCGGCATCACAGCCGCCACAACCTTCTTCGTTGAACATCTCAACACTCCGAATTTTTCTTTCATGGCCACCGAAGAGAAGATCAACGAGATCGAGGAAGCCTTCATCTCTCAGCCCTTGACGCCGACCGCGATGGTGTTGGACTTGGGAT